GCATGTTGAATAGTTGCAATCAGGGATCACACATTCAGCTATGAATATTTAATCAGCGGAGTTGCATAGACAGATGCATAGAAGCATTTTATTTCGAAGCCTACCAATACAGGAATAGATAGATAGATAGATAGATAGATAGATAGATAGATAGATAGATAGATAGATAGATATGAACAGACTGGGGTATATAGATAGATAGATAGATAGATAGATAGATAGATAGATAGATAGATAGATAGATAGATAGATACGAACAGACTGAGATAGATAGATATGAACAGACTGAGATAGATAGATAGATAGATAGATAGATAGATAGATAGATAGATAGATAGATAGATAGATACGAGCTCAAATACGAACAGACTAAGATAGATATATATGAACAGACTGAGAAAGATATATAGAAAGAAGGATAGATGGATAGTTTAATGAAATTGACATAGATAGATAGATAGATAGATAGATAGATAGATAGATAGAGAGATAATAAGCACGTTCTGATAGATAGATAGATAGATAGATAGATAGATAGATAGACTGAGTTAGATTGAAATAGCGTGGTTCAAATGTCGACCGACAAATTCTAAACTTCGATAAAAAAAAAATCGAGGCATGATTTAGTAAAATTTTTCATTTTGAATGTCAGAATTCCTTTGATATAAACGTTTCTATATATATATATATATATATATATATAGATAGATAGATAGATAGATAGATAGATAGATAGATAGATAATATTAGTGGTAAATATATACATACATATGCAATCATATATCTAAAATACATGGAATATTAGTGTTTAAGCCTATATATATATATATATATATATATATATATATATCGACTTACTGAACGTAACGTTCACGTGGCACATGGCCGAAATTGAGAAGCACCCAATGAGGATCGACCTCACTGCTCAGTCGTAACTGATCGAGCGAAATAAGCTTGCTCATCAAGTGCCCGAGATTCTTGTAGCTCAGTCCTGGTTTTTAATGTTTCACGTCCTTTGAAATTTCTTCTTACTTGATGGCGGAAATATGCAAATTTATACTTACATCCTTTTTTTTACCTTTTTCTTTTTGTTTTGTTTTTTTTTTTTTTTTTTTTTAAATGCGAAGGTCGCTTTTTACAGATTGATGTTTTTTTATTTTTATTATCAGTGAATTGCCATGGAATTTTGGTGGGAAAATGGAATGGTTTCCCATAGAATTCCTTCCACTTTTTCGAATTCAAATGTCTTTCTTCTAAACTGACCGTTACCCATGGCATGAGAGACTAATTCACGATGCTACTTATCCCTGAGTTGGATTCATGCCTTTACAAAATAATCAATGTGAAATGAAAACAACAACACACACACGCACATACATACACACACTCACACATGTGCGTGTGGGTATTGGTGTTTGTATGCTTTTATATCTTGCTACTTATTGCTACCTGATGACTGCAAATTTCATGTGAACGAAATATTATTTTTAAATCTATAAAAGAAATTAAATTTCATTATTTATTTATTTTTTTAATTATTTTTATTATTTAGTTATTTATTTTTATTACTGTACTTTAATATTATTATTATTATCACTATTTTTATTATTTTTATTAATATTATTATTATATTTTAAGTTCTTCAATAGTAAGTACTTGATTTTTATTATTGTACTTTAAATTTCATATTCATTATGATTTTTAATACTGTACTTCATTTATTCTCTTCTTCTTCTTCCTCTTCTTCTTCTTCTTCTTCCTCTTCTTCTTCTTCTTCTTCTTCTTCTTATTATTATTATTATTATTATTATATATGCAATGGTACGTTATTTTATATTCTACACTCAGCTTCTTCATTATAATACATAGCTTTGTTTGGTATATTTGATATTGAACACACACACATATCTATCTATCTATCTCTCTCTCTCTCTCTCTCTCTATATATATATATATATATATATATATTTGTGTGTGTGTGTGTGTGTGTGTTGATATAATAGAAAAGAACTGTTAGATTGATGATCCTAAGTTCTTTGGTATTTTTGTTTCTTCCAAAATTAAACTCGAGTACGGAAGACCAGTTTCAGAAACAATGATTTCTGAGTCGCGATGGAAACATATCGTAAAAAAATAATTATATATATATATATATATATATATATATATACACAGATTAAAATCAAAGGAAGAGAGTTCCCATGTACTTTCGACCGTTTTATCTGTTACAGTCATCATCAATAGTTGATTTACGTTTTAGTCTGATTAAAAATACTTCATCAATTAAAAATTTACAAAGCGAATTGACGAAAAGGGAGTTCCTACGACCGATGATCATCGTAGGTATATATATATATATATATATATATATATATATATATATATATATATATATATATATATAATAAAAATATATTTCAGTATCTCGGATCTAGAGTTTCATGGACTGGCCCTCCAGCAATCGTTCCATCCACTCGTCAGGAGATACCAATAATTAGCAGTTTATTATTTCATTTTTCGTCACCTTTATTTGGAGGTAAAACAAATTATACCCTTTTCATTTGTGCAAGGTTGATAAAATTGTGTGCATGCATGTGAATGCATGTATACGCGTTTACACTCACACACACGTACACACACACACACATATATATATATATATGTTTGTGTATATAAATATATATATATATGTGTGTGTACGTGTGTGTGTGTAGGTAGGTAGGTAAAACACCGAAAACAAATCAAATCGCTATACAATTGCCGTCGTATTTCGATGTGTATCAATGCATCTCATCAGACCATTGTAAATTACCGGCGGTTGAACGATTTATTTAGATTTAAAAGCCATATTTATTATGTATATATGGAAGTTTTTATTGAAGACGACCGACAAAATATGGCGACACACATATATACGTATATACGTATATAAAGATCCTCAGATTCAGTTAAAAATACAAAAAAAAATTTGATGGAATATCCCAAAGCGCTCAGACATTTGAAAGATTTTGACATATTTTATATAAAGAAAAGAAAACACAAACAAAGGAAAATTAAAAAAATAGGGATTGCTGGTCAGCGGTTGATGAAGGCAGGTATCGCAGGTGCTAATACACGCTGTATGTTAAAATATATATATATATATATATATATATATATATATATATATATATATATATCAACCGGCCTCTTGTTTGAGATCTGCTGCGTTCATGTATACTTTTCACATCAGCGTTGATTTTTACCGGATATATCGGCCTTTAAATAAGAATAATGATTATATATATATATATATATATATATATATATATATATATATATATATATATATATATATATAAAGAAAGAGAATGATAATACATACATACATACATATATATATATATATATATATATATATATAAAAATAAAAAGTGAAATATAGAAGTCAACACTTAGAGGCGACAGTCTGTTTCATACTATATGCAATCGTCAGGCCACATATGGCCTGTTTCATTGCTATATGCAATCGGCATGCATATAGCCCGAAACAGACTGTCGCCTCTAAGTGTTGCCTTCTATATTGACTTTTATATTTACACACGCTCTGATATTGAGCACTTTATCCCATAAATATAGCACATCTTAAGACTATATTTCTTCATAAATATTTGTCTTTTCCTCCGTTTCATTTTTAAATACCTTTATAATATTTTAAACCTAATGCTCGATTTAATTTGATATTTCTGAGTTTTAATTTTATCGTAAATTAAATTGTTTCATGTTGATTTTTGTTTGTATTTCGAATATACCGTGAACTATTCTTAGTGATCATCATAGGTTACGTTTGATTTGAATTTTCAAAAGAATATATCTTTATTTAGCAATCCATACCATCACTTAACGAGGTACCAGAAGTGTTGAAACAAAATCGCTATATTTGTAGCGATATTATAACTTGATTATGTTATAATTTTTGAAGAAATATTATTTGCTCTGCTCTGAATTCAGCACTTTTTCTAAGAAGAGTGTTTTTTCATTGGAATTTTATTCCGTTTAAAAAAATCCTATATATATATATATATATATATATATATATATATATATATATATATATATATATATATAAAGAACAGTATGATATATAATCCGGTGTTCTTATAGATATTTTTATTTTAAAAAAATAGTGCTCAATGTAAACTTACAGAGTATTAATATTATAATAATTATAATATTATATCTTTGAAACATGGTTAGAACTGTGTAGCGACAATTATTTTAAGACATTTTTATGTTTAACATTCTTTTTATAGATACAAATATTTAAGTATATATTTTTTTTATAAACAGCGCATTTACTTAAATATTTGTATCTATAAAAAGAATATATAAACAGGAAAATATATATATATATATATATATATATATATATATATATATATATATATATAGGCCTGACGATTGCATCTAGCCTGAAACAACTTTTAGACTTCAATTTTCACTATATATATTCTTGAATATATATTTATATATATATATATATATATATATATATATGTATATATATATATATATATATATATATTCATGGCAGTGACTGCCCACTATAATAAGCTTCTACTGATTGCCAGATGATTAAGTGCAAACGCATGAAACTCATAGCCGCGGTCATGCACTGCCTACTTGGTTTTTGAATTAATATTTAGATATATTTATATATATGAGGATATTGCAACAATATATATATATATATATATATATGTATTTCTACTTAAAACTGATGGAGCGTTTACTCAAGTATTGGTATGTACTAAGAATAACTATAACTTATCAAAATATGTCGAATTAATACATAGAAATCAATTATATATATATATATATATATATATATATATATATATTTTTATATATGTTGTAGCTGATAAATTTCTACTATGTTAAATTTGGTAATTAAAAGTCTTAATACAACAGTGCCAAAAAGTTAAATGAAAAAAATAAAGGCTAGACATAAGGCTTTTATT